AGCTCATGTGGAGACCTTGTGCTGAAAATTAGGGGGTGCCATCTGCCAATGACCCATAGCCTCCATCTACCTAGCAGGATTTGTCCTGAAATCAAGTAAATTACCTGGGGAAAAAAAGCCTCTATACCCAGAGACCAGCGACACTGGGCATACAAAACTTTGGAAACTGATGCAGATAGATTGTGCTGTGCTAATTTTGCCCCAGCATATGTATGCCTCATGAAACAAATCTGTAATCACAGGATCACCTGCAGAATTTCTCCCACAAGACCTCTGCCCTGCTCAGTCCTCAGGATGGTTCTGCTCACTGAATGCAGCATTAGTCATCATTTCTTTTCATTACCATTCAACTTGCTTCTCCATTCTCTCCTACTCTCTTCCCCTTTATCCAACTACTGCCAGCATGGATTCCACTGGAAGTACCTAATCTTACTGTCCTTACCACTCTCAGCCTCTGACGTGCTTGGCCTCACATTTCTGCAAGGCAGGGAAGCACTCTTCTCCATGCAGCAGGTGGGGGATGGAGACTAAAAGAAGGTAAGATGCTTAAAGTCACAGAGAAAATCTGTGAGAGCAGGAAGCTGAACATGGGTCTTTGACCATGGCTCCCAGGCTGACCCCTTACCCCAGAGAGATCCTTTCGCTCTCCTAACCTGCAAGAACAAATTTTAATCTCTTCCTGAAATTGTTTCTGGTGTTCATCTGTGGAGCTGGAGTGCCTGGCAAGCACTGAATTCATTACATCCTTCACAGGATGACTGGAAGAAGGTTTTCCTGAACAGACATAGGAAAATGAGTGAAGAGAAAATTGAATCTGAATGTCTACTTCTTGTGGGTGTCCATCTCAATACCTGTTGGTCCCTGCTTTCCAGGCCACTCAGCCCTGTGGGGCACAAGGGTATCCACAGAGGAATTCCTCCTGGCCTCTGCCTGCTGCGGGGAACACAGATCAGACCTCATGTCTTGAGCTAGGTATCCAGAAAATGAGGAACACAAACTCAATTGACAGGTGAGAACATTTTAGCTTAAGACTCTGGAATAGGATCAAGAAAGAAAAGAGGAGGCAGGAAGAGGATCCAGTTCTCCAAAGTAACACTTAATGGGCTTTCCTGTAAGACTATTGTGATTTTTCTGCGATTACCTGCCTCATTCACTACACACCTTCCAATTTCGACAAACAAATGAAGTGGAAGTCCTATAGGCAAGAGTATACTTTACTCCACACTCCTGATTCATCCCCCAAACACTCTGCATCTCTGTGCACTGCATGAGGCAGGTATGCTTTGTTAAAAATAGGGATGATCTTTCAATTAGATATTGTATTGAAATACACATGTGAAACAGGGGCAAGGCTAAAGTGCAGATATTTCTTAAATTCTGTGTGCTAGATTTTACAGTTAATGAGAACTCTTTAACCGTAGGTTTGTTTTTACTGCACTGCATTGGCTCGTATGTCAGAGTCTGCAGCAATATCTGGTGCGTAACATGTACGTTGCACATGATCAAAGACTTGAGTGTCATCTTTTTCCCTAGAACAATGACTGCCTAAAGCAGCAGGAACAGAAATTATCTAAAGGTAGTGTTAAACAAACCTCCTTCTCCCCTCTGGGGAGAGTAAGCAGTCCAGGTGAGCAAGGCAGGAGGGGAGAACAGCCTCCTTTGTGCTAGATGGGCAGAGAGCTCCACATAAAAGCAGAGGAGCTTTGCAGAAGCATGTCCTGACTCCCATCACTGGAGACTTAATGATGGTAATTCCCAAGGGATGATGCATGCTGACAGGCTTTGACACAAACTACCCCAGGATAATATTAATATGTATTAAAGGCTCAGGCAACTTTATTGGGACGGGCTTGATCAGTAACACATTTCAACAGAGCGTCTCTATCATCTGCTGGAACGTAAGTAAGGGAGGGAAGGAGAGCACACGCACAACCTCACCTTGCTTTGGGAAGGTTTCAGAGACAAACAAGGACAATCTGTGATGAACTGCATGCCTGGTTGGACCAAGAACCTTGGACGCTCCACCACAAATACAAATGTCACTGCGGGGCAGTTAATGTTGGAGTCTGTCTGCGTGTCCCTCCAACATGGGGCCAGACACCTCCTGCACAGCCTTTCCTTGTGCATCTAGAACATCTACCCCTTGGAAAGGAGAGCAGAGGTTCTTAGGAGGCAGTGTGGGGGCTCTGCTGTCATAGCACTGGGGGAAGGGGGAGTGGAAGAAAGAACCGCGGAAGCCTTTGATCATGTGTAATGTTAATGCAAGTGTTACACATCAGAGACTTTGCCACAGTAACTAGCATATAAACAGGAGTCTAGTGTTAACAAGGAGGACTTCTTGAATATTTGTACATTTCTGAGTTAAAGCAATTTCCTTATTCAACAATACATGACACAGTGGAAGAAGTTCAGAAATAAACCAGCCTGACATGCTTAGACCTCTAATAGAATTTAGCTTCTTAGAACTAATTAAATGTTACTTAAATGAAAAAAAAAATCCAAGTACTTGGGAAAGGTGCCAATTTGACAGCTCTGGAGAATGAAATAATCTAATCATCCCCAGAGCATGGGCAGCAGCAGGACAGGCTTCCCCAACTAACATGCCTCAAACGTGACCTGGAAAGACTGTTGATCGAAATGGGGCGTACAATCTCTGTGGTCTAATGACTCCTTGCTTTTTCTGCTGAGACTGCTAAAATGGTTCCCGCTGAGTACCAGCTGTGGCGGTGATATGGACACCTGTCTAGTAGGAATGGTGCTGGGACCTGCCAAACTCCTGTCATCTACTAACCCTCCATTGGAGCCCAGCGATCCTCAGCTCATTGCTCAGCCCAGGCAGTGGGGGCTGATAGACTGTGCAGCCTCTCTGATCTGTCCCACCTTGGACATGCTCCACTCCAGCCCACGAGATGTAAACAGGAGGTACTGTGTTTAGTCTGCAGGTTTGGGTTTTCATTGCACCAAAGCTCAGGCTCAAGAGAAGTCAGTCTCTGGCTGCTGCAGAGTTGAGGCCAAGATTTTTCAGGCTCTTATTTTTCCCTTAAGATAGGGAAAAAGTCCACAGGAGGAGAAGCCTGCCATGTGTCCTCTTCTCCACAGTTCCACCATTTGCTTGTCTTTGCAACAAGCCCCTGCATTGCAGTGATCTGCTTTCAGCTGCCAACTCTCCTCGGAGCTCCTCACTGTGCCTGGGGTCCCATGCGAGGGAGGAGGAAAATCCTCTCTGGGCCTTGCTGTGAAAGCTTAGCTGGGCTTGCCAGCTCAGCCAGCCCAGGCTGCAATGGACTAAACCAAACACAGCTCGCCTTCTTGGAAATTTCATGCACCACAACTTCTTTTACTTCTGAAGCAAAGCCACATGAACCTCCCCCTCCCCTGCTCCCAACACCACAAGGGACTGCCGAGCACGGATCAAGCCTCCCGTCGCATATTAAGCCAAGAGCCTCAGACACTCCCACGTGTATCTCACAACCAGGTGCTACTCCTGTTGTCCCAGGCTGCTTTTAGTCTCCATTCCTGCCCCACCCAGCCTGTCCTCCTTCATTAACACAGGACAGAGCAGAGGCCAGCAGAGGGGCTGGTCATGTGAGATGAGAAGATCCAATACACTGACATTGTGTAGGAAACAAGCAAGGGAACTTGTTTCTGCCTACCATCTGAGCCAGCAATTCTTCACCTTTCCATTCCAGCTACTCCAAAGATCTTCCACATTCTTCAGCACTGAAGTAACAGGCATGAAAACAACCAGGTACATAAGGGTTAACATGTCTGAACGGGGACATAATTATTGCCATTCTCCACTGTTTAGAGGTTACCTGACTACTCTACGCATCAATACATTGCAAGATGTAATGTAAATGCAAACACTCATGTTTGGAGTTAACACAGTCACAAGATCCTGTGTATCATATGTTGGCAAGCACAGGAACCAACAGCAAATGACCCACCCTTAAACCTGACCCTTTGCTGTTAATCATTACAGGAGTGTTGCACTTTCCAGTCAGTACAATCAAAGCATGCAGGCTCTTTGAAAATCCATACACGAAAGATGGTGCTAGCTCCTTTGCAGGTCGTACAGATTTCAAGGTATGATGTCCTCCAGACATATGAACACAGGCTGCAGAAAGCCTCGAAAGCAAGTCACTGCAAGGTTAACTGTAACACTGCAATGCTAAAACAAACCTCTGCCTTCACAGCAGAAGGGGAGGAAGGAATATCACAGTAATGGTGAAGGCAGAGATGTACTGCACACATACAGTCCCTCAGAGATGGGCTCTTCTGCATTAATACACTCCCCCAAGCTTTTTTGTTTTCACAATATGTTCATAACCGTGAAGAAATTCAAGGGTAGAACAGCACTGTGCCATCATATCATTAGTGTATCACTGCTCCGTAGGGATGACCCTCAACACCAAGCAGATAGGGATTTTCCAAGGAAAATCTGTGATATAGAAAACATCTGAGTGCAGAAAATGTGTGGGTGCTTCAAGCAACCACAAGCCTTTGTTAAAGAATCAATAGGAAAGAGCTAAAACTGAAAGAAGAAGAGCTCTCTGTGCTGTTCTCCCGTCAGATGATGTAAAACTGAGATCTTGGCTCTCTGTAGGATCACAGTCCCACAGCTTTCTAGCTCTTCCGCCTTGGCTCCATTCTTGTTTAGGTCATTCCACTCTGCCTCCCCAAATTCCTTTCTGGAAGAAATCAAGAGTAAATACAGCCCGTAAAGTGTTCTCCAATTCCAGGAAATGGACACTACTGCATTCACAGATGATTTCTGATTTTTCCATCCACTGCTTATCAAGTTCCATTAATATAAATAGCAACATTTTACCATTATTTTTCAAGTCCATAATTACTCAAAGTATTATGCAAGAGCTCAGAGAGATGTCACAGCAGAAGATACAAGTTTGTTACACTTTTAAACCACATAAGCCCTTAGCAGGATCATTTTTAGGACACGGTAAGGAGGAAGGGGGAGAAACAGGAAGGAGGTTTCTCACTTGTAACCAAGGTCCGTGTGCTGCATAGGGATGCTCCTCTGTAGCAAAGGCTCCTTCTACTCCCGTTGATACAAACGTGATTGCTGTATCTCCTGTAATACTTTTATATGTAAAGTGCCGTCCGTGTAAGAGCCTTCCCCTGGAGAATTAAACATATGTGCATGAACCAAGAGAGTGTGCACAGCATTCAGCACAACAATGAAGACACATCACTACTGTTTCTGCCATCAGCATAAGAAACCATTTTGAAGGCAGCAACTATTAATTTTTTAGGAATATATTAATGATTTGCTCCAAACAGCAGGTCACGAGCCTCCTTCTGAGGCAGGGGGTGACCCTCATCCCCCCTTATTCTCAGAATTAGAATACATCTAAATCCACTGCATGCCTATCCTCATGATGAGGTGCTGATGTATGTAAGGGCAGAGGACTCCCAGTCTTCTAGTAAGAAAAAACTGCAGAAGAGAATCCAGACTCCACATCATGTGCGAGTGTGAAGATGCATTTCCAAGAAAGCTCGTTGGTGAGGCCAAACTTACCTATTGTGACAATACCCAGTAATCAATTGCCCTGGTGCTTGACAAGTGTCACCTGTATTACCTAAGCAGATGCCTACAACATACAGATACACAACCATCTACAGCATCAATTTCCTTTTCTCATTCAATGCAAGGGAAAATCATGGCTCTGGTACTTAGGATCAGAGCACACATGACATGCATGCATAGCTTCCAACTTGCAACAGGGAAAACTTCAGGTAATATACTTGGTGTCTAACAAAGTCACAGTTGATGAGTTACTACTGGTCAGCTGAGCAGGACAGACTGCTCACACAGTTGTGATGTAAAATAAAATACGTTTCTGTTAACTATCCTACTGGTTTCTCAACAGGCACAGGCAAATGTGCACCTGCTGCTGATAACTCTGATACTACCCACACCTAACTCATTAAGCTAAACTCAATCACCTACAATCATTTGTCTTTACCCCACACTTCATCTTTATGTTAAGGATTACAACATTTGCACAGGTATTTTTAAAATAGTGCTAACTAAAACTGTGGAAAACTAGAAGGCAGTGATATGTGCAGCCTAAACCTTCAAAAGACAATGTGTAGAGTACGCATGCAATGTTTTGCTCTTTCAGTCATGTGACATAATTTGTCTAAAAACCACACTTGTATGCATAAACTGTCTGCAAACAGCCTTTGCATAAACACTTATCTGAGTCCATAAGTCAGAATGAACAACTTAAGGGATTTCTTTGACAGAGTATGTTAAGACATCCCTTCTTCACCACAGAGTTGCTAGCATTAGACTAATAAGAAAACCCTATACTAACTCTGTCCTGCTTCAGCACTCAAAATACACTGGAAGACAGAAAAGGAATGAGAAACAATCTTACCATGATGAACACACATGTGAAGAATCATCTGTTTCTAATGTGTTTTGGCAAAATATCTCAGCTCTGGCCTTCACAGACCCATTGCATGCATGTCTATATGGTGAAACAATGCCACAAGGCAAAAGCAGCATGTTAGCACAAGCTGAGGAGGAGGATGGTTTCACTCACCTTAGACAGAGGGGAATGAGTGCTCCGGACTCCTGGTTAAATTTCAGGTGCACGCTCTCCAGCTGTCTCGTGCGGATTAGCTCATGAGGAATGATACCTGCTGAGCTCTCGCTTTCTAAACTGTCCTTACGGCTTCTAAAAGACAAAATGCACATATTCAGGATCCTGGTGCTGAGTGCTGTTTCTGCTGTGTTTCAGAGTGACTAAAAATATTGAAGGACACAGGAACAAGCTGTTATGAAGACACATCTGAGTTTTTGTCACCCCTACCTGAAGGACACAGCCTCCCTTAGACTACCAGTCCCAGCATGCAGCTCTTTACCTTGGTTTGACAATTGAGGATCTGAATTGATGCATATGCATGGTGCATCCCTTCCCAGTATAAAAGAAAAAAATTTTCGGGAAAGAACTACAGCAAAACTACACTCTCCAAAACCCCAAACACTGTGAAATGGTTCGGAAGAATTACCAGGTGTGCCCTCCCTCCTGCTTTTGCTTATCTTCAGGATATTTTAGGCAGTGGCCTGCAAGAAAGAGTTGTCTACCCCTTTGTGCCTTTGAGGTTTGAGGCATCCCTACAATTGTGTTCAAATAATTTCTTTGCACAGTTCAACCAAAAGGTTTCAAGAACCCCCTGCTTCCACCAGCATCAAGTGCAACAGCCAAAAGACAGACTCTATGTGTGTTGAGATGGAGATCCACAGATTGTTTTCCCTTGGAAGTGGGGCTGCTTTAAGACAATGGCAGCTTTGCTTTCTTATTCATTCATTTCTGCAAGACCAGCATATTCTGAAGCTACGACTAAAGGTTATGTTGTTACATGATTAGGAACTCTGCCAGACCGAATCCTCTCGATAATAAAACAGTCTATCTCAAAATACTTGACCATAAACACTTTGTATGTTCAAAGACCATCAGCATGATCCCATACTTGACAGTCCAAAACAAAGAATGAAGGACAGGGCAGGTTCCGATTTTTACGGATGACATGGACTGATGTGATGCATCTGATAAGTGATTTATATTTTTGTCACCTGGCATTCCACATGAACTTAATAGAAGTAAGACTAGTTAAGATAGTTTCTATAGAACAAAATCACCGGAGGAGAGTGACAGGGAAAGCAGGAGGGAATGGAGATGCCACATTGCAATTTGTCTCCATTGTGCCAGACAGACCAAAAGCCAAACAAGGCTATCAGGCTGTGGTGCCATTTGGGAATACTGTTAAAACAAGTCTGGATCCTTCCTCCATCCAAGATGAACCATCTTTAATGTACATCTGGAAATGATTGTAAAGAAACAGCTTGACCCTCATGAGCTGACTTAGATGACACCTTGACTTGATTTTACCTTTGAGTGCTGTCCTAAAATTACTCCCATCAACCACACACATAGTAGTGCAGTTTGTGTGAATTCCAGTGCAGATCAGCCTACTGCTCCTGCCAGGTCACCTAGTCCCAGGTGAGCCCTTCACCCAGGCTGCCCACTCTGAAATGAGGACGCAAGCTAAACTCTGATGTCTCACAATGCAATCCTGAAAATACTCTGCATGGCCAGGTCAGAGACATGTAGGAAAAAAATACCAGAGCAGCTCAGCTCCCTGCAAGAGAAAAACTGTAAAACATGTCCCATGTTCTGTTTTAGCAACACACAAAAGCAATACTGGATCCAGCAGGGACACAGTAGGTCAGGATACAGTTTATGTACAGGGTGGGCTGAGGGACTGACAGACATCAGAGTGTCAGTTTAGTGGGTTAACCCTGAAGCAAAGACAAAACATGCTTTGTAGTCTATAGGTGGCACTTAAAGTCGTGTTTAATCTACTTCAGCAAACATTTTACAGCTCTTTGTAGGTGGGGTCTTCAAAGAGTGGAGTGGGCCAGCATTTTGCAGGCTGATTACCTGAGAAATGCAGTTACAGTTGATTAATGATCAGTTGACCTTAAGCTAAGCTTTGTCTCAACTTCCTTATCAGATCTTATATACACAGTGAGCTGTGGGAAAGTCAGCCTGTGGTCTACAGCTTCCAATCATTCATTTATCAGCCCCTACCAACAGGGTCAGCCATTAGGAACACATGATTTTCAAGCAAGCCATAAGCCTGCACTCCTAAATGCAGTTCCAGAGTTTAGGCGCCCTGGAGCGGATCAGGAGTTTTACAGCAATGTTATTGCTACAGACAAGAGACTGTGCCCTGCTCACCTGGCCTGCCTAAGTGTGCCAGGTACGTCCCATAACAGCCTCCTGGGCAATCGATGCTGTAGGTTCATGCTTCAGCAGGGACAGCTTCTCATGCCCCTGGTTTCCAAACCCCCCTGAGCTGAAGGTGAGTTTTTTAGGTTTCCACCATGCTAGCCAGTACAGCTGCTAGCACAATGGGGCTAGTCCGGAGGGGAAACAGCCTCTGGTTGTTAAGGCAATAATCGGAATGACAACAATATTCTGGAGGCAAGGGGCAAAGCTTTCTAAGTCTTATTAAAACCAGCAAATGCTGTTTGTCATTACATGCTCAAGAGAAGATGTTGACTAATGTATAACTATCAAATGGAACTGTCATGACTTTAGGGCTGTCAATAATTATGATTTCACATTAATAAGTAACCAGCCCTTCTGTCAAAAAGGTGAAGCAAAATGGTATTTAATACTTTGAATGACATGAAAGTATTAATCCTTTCCACAGAAATTTTCCAAAATAGTCAGTCTGTGTTTTTTGTTTCACTCCAGTAGAGCTTACACAATTTCAGATATTTAAAGTTAAGGGCGAAACTCCAACAGCAGAAATCAAATAACCTTCTGTCTAAGCTACCTTTCTAAACAAGAGCTGTGTATTGTGGACTGCACATAACACATCAAGAGGCCACAGTGCCACCACTTTCAGACTCAGAAACATGTTGCATGACACAGGAACCCAGCAAGACCCATTAAAATTCTCTCTTTGGGACTGGAAATCCTCATGCTGACCCTTCCAAAGGGCGATAGGCCAGATGAAGGGTCGCTAGGACCTCTAGGTTGCTACTCATGGAAAACTCATGTTGTAACACACATTGCCATCCACAGCTTGTAGTTTTCAGCCTCAGAAAAAAACATAGAAAAAGTTTGATTTCTAATACTAACATCCCTGTTTTTACGACTGTCAGTTACTCGTAAGTCTTTGCTTCCTCCACCCCATCACCAAATAAATCAGCAGCAAAAGTGGAGTTTTACTTGTTATGACTAAGATCGAGCTGACTATCACATAAAATGTTGCAAACTTTGTCTATTCCAGATTTAATACTTCATCCAACCCACACAAAAAAAATTCATGTTTCTCAGTGTCCAGAAAAAACAAGTCTGCAAAATCCAGGGCTGCTGCATTAGGAAAGGCAGTAGATTTAAATGGAAGCAGCATGCTGGAAATGCCCCAGTTTAAAGACTGCACATCTCATGTTTTCTGAAACTGGAGGGGAGTTGGAGGAGATTAAAGCACATTTCCCTCTGATTGGGAGCTTGTGGGAGGTGTAAACGTGGGCAGTTGTCAGATTAATTCTTTAGATGATTACATTCTTTTTGTTTCTTTAAAGCTGTTTGTAGTTGGGTTTGATGTCTCCTGTTCTGGGCAAGTGTATTGCTGCAGTTACCAAGGTGACTTTAGCTGACTTTCAACTATTTTTTCCAGCTTCAGTTTCTACCAGTAGTCTGCTTCTGGATGGAGGAGAGAGGGAAGAAATTATGTTGTTTTTTTGTTAAGTCTCCTGAATGCTGATTAACATGGACTTAACCAAAGCCATAGGGTTTTTTTGTTTGTGGAGTTTTTTTTCAGATAGAGGGTGGTCAAACTGTTGCAAAGGTGTCCAGTGTGGCCTGCAGCTTCCCCAGACCTCTGTCAACAGGGAGAAAGAGCCTGAGGAGACTCCATGTCCCAGTGTGCTATGCTCCTTCTCGATGCAAGAGGCCACACGCTGAAACCTGTTGCCTCCTGGGGGCCCTGTCTTTGTATTAAAGATGAGGGTGGATGTAACCTGCTTAATTTTATGCCAATTAGCAGCAGCCCAGGGGGATCCTGGAAAATCGCCAATGCAATCACTGGGTTGCACAAAGTTTGGATGTCCCCTCCTTATAAGTCGTGTTTATAGCAACCCCTTCTCAAGCAACTGCTGGCAGCTATTTTATGGGATTCAAGAATAACCAGGTTGATTGGATTAAGAAAGGTTTATTTATTCTTGCACTTGCGTTTTGCATTATGATCAGAGCTCTTGATCTCATGGATCTGTCAAGGAAGGAGGTCTCAGTTCCCTTCCAAACTCTGTCACTAATATGGAGTATAATTTCACTGCATTTCCAAGCTACCCTCCCAGGTACCAAGATCACAAAAGACACACTGTTGGAAGCTGGCCATGGCAGGGGCTTTTTGTAGGAGTGGGTGTCCACTGCAACAGTAAAGTTAGTTTCAGTCTTTGCACCTTACTTCTTCCATATGAAACCTAGCACTGTAAAAATGCAAACCATCAGTGCAAGCTTACACAGCTGGGAGAGAAAGGTCAGACCACTTTTCCTTTCTTCCCCCTCCATCCCCTTCTTCCCTTTCAAACCTCCTCACTCCCTCATGAAGATATGGTCAAAGATCACTTAAGTGCCAGCAATCTTCCTGTGTCTTTCCCACAGTTTCCCCTGAAGGGCAAACCAGCAGTTGTGGGAAAGAGCCCTAAGCACCTTGGCACACGGAGTTACAGCACACGTCACAAACACACAGAGGCAAGTGGGAAGAACATGGTTACACAGCTCCTGCCATGGTCACAGTGAGACAAGGACAGCTCTAGTGCTCAGACCTGGGCGCTCCTCAGCCTGGTTAAACAGGATGGTGACGATGTTCTGTGTGCATTTCCTGGCATGGAAGGGTTGCAAGGACAATGCCAGTAGCAACAATCCTCTTGCCACTCACATATCCCTTTGGAAAGCTGCATAATAACTACTGTCAGAGCTTGCAGGGGCCAGACTGTTCCAAGACCTGCAGCTGAACTGGGATTGAGAGATTTAGGCTGTGCCACTGGCACGTTGCAGACTCACGAGCAAAGTCAAACAACTCTTTTATGCTTTGGGTTCCCTGTCTGTAAAACTGAGACATTTTTCCATGTAGGGGTGTTGCAAGGATTAAGTCA